ATTAAAAATCGTAATTTTTTAAGAATTTAACACATTAGACTAAATTTCTTTTATGCTATTAAAAAGTAACACGCTTGCCATATGTACATTTTAGGATTATTATCAAAATAAATATTCTTTGTTAAAGATTACTTCCTAAAAGAAGAGATATTAAGTAACTGCTTTGACTTTGTGTAGAATTGCTATTTTTCTGTGCGCACGTTCACGCACACGTACAGAAAATGCACGCAAACAATTTTTCTATGTCGTAAATAATTTTGTTATGATACAAATATTCAGGAAATAATTCACAATTTAAAACGCGGAGACTAGCGCGACGAAAGTTCACTTTAGAGCGAACTAAACTGTGTTCTTAGAAAGAGTTCTCAATTTTCCTAATTTTCGTAACCGAGATATTAATTTCTAATATATTTCTGAACATACGTGCATGCAAAAATAAATTTTTCGTACGAAGATTTCGTTTTGATATGAACAGAGAATGATCATAGCTCAAAGAATAATTATAGCTGGAAATTCGACGCTATTCGCGACTCATGTCTAGCGACGACCATTGCTGCTTGTTATAAACAACGCGTGCCTAGCGATGACGAGCGCGCGCGGCGCGCCGCGCTGGGTGGTCCTATCGAGCCGCGCGCTTGGATTTGGCGGTGGGCCGGGCGAATTTGGATATCTTTATAAATAAATATCTCGTTAACTATTGCGAAAATTGAAGAATGGTAGAAGACGTTCCGTCTCAGTTTAATCCGCTGTACCTGTCCATGATATATGTCAGGAGAGTTGTGGGACACCTTGTATATACATATAATAGACATTATTTTACAAAGTAAATCAACAAACAAACAAAAAGTTGTATTAACAGTTGTTTTAACGTGGTTCAAACTTTTCTTTTTGGAATGGAAACAATTCAAAAATACATAAAGTTATTAGAACATATTTTATTTTTTAAAATAATACTTATTTGTGCTGATAGTTCACTAAGATGTAGATTTGTGCTGATAGTTCACTGAGATACGATTACAGCATATCCTAAAAAATAAAATCAATAGACATTAGCATCAGAATTATAAATTGAGAACAATACGTATTATTCTGTACTACAACCAATTTTGTCGTAATCTTTTCTTAATATTTTCTTATTAACACGTATTGTTGACGAACAGATAATATGTTATAATTATTCCTGGGTCGAGTTTTAAGAGAGAGGTATTAATTTTTGTATATTATATATTAATTTATGTTATTTGCAGTTTTAGATCTTACTAAAGAATTATATGGATATTATACTGGGTGTCCCATTTTAAATAACGGATAGGAATATCTCGGATGGTAAGCATTTTGGAGGAATTTGTTTATACAAAAGTTGTAGGGTACAGACAAGGCTAACTTATGGTGACCTTGACCTTAACCTTGACGATGACCTTCAAGGTCATTTCAATATCAAGTCAATTTTTTCAAATGGAACCCCTTATTTTTTAACCCGGAAGTCGAAAGAGCGGAAGATTTTACGTTCGAATATGACCTTGACCTTGACCTTCACCGCTACCTTCAAGTGCTCCTTCATCGCTCCATGGTGAGGTTCTATAGTTCTTTTCAGTTTGTGTCCGTTAGTTTGGACCTCCTTGTCGGCCAGCATTTAGCATGGTTGAACCTGAGCTGATATAATCCGAGCAGATCGTAAGCCATAACACCCCCACCACGAGAAGGTGGACACATGGGGGCACCCAGCCAGTTAAGGCAAGATAGAGGAGTCACCCAGCCAGTTAAGGCAAGGTCGAGTATCATCTAGTTATCAACCTTAAGATTTAATGTCTGATCTCATGTTAAAGTCCACTCCATAAGCAAATTTATCTAACTAAATGTTCAAATAATTGACGGTTATTATCAAGGCATAACTGAATGCGATTTTGAAAACTTCTAATGGTTGCAAGAAGAACATTTCTTGGAATGTTGCGACATGCGTTTGTTATGCGTTCCATCATATTTTGTCTTGTGGTGGGTGCTTCAGCGTAGACAATATTTTTCAGATAGCTCCACAAAAAGAAGTCTAAATTAGACAAATCCGGAGACCTCGGACTCCACTCTACAAAACCACCACGTCTTATTCATTGATTCGTGAATCTGATATTTAAATAGTCACGAACTATCCTGGCATAATGAGGAGGTGCACCATCTTGCCGAAACCACATGCGGACTCTCGTGAGTAGATCAACATTTTCGAGCAATTTCGGTAAATCATTTATTAAAAATTGTAAATAGTTGTGACTATTTACATTTTCGTCGAAGGAATAAGGTCCAATTAAGTTTCCATTGACAATATCGCATCATACGATCAAACTCCAACATTGCTGATGATTCACTTCACGATGCAAATGAGGATTTTCTACAGACCAATAATGACAATTGTGCCTGTTAAGTTGACCAGTATTATGAAAAGTGGCTTCATCACTAAATAAGACGTAATGAAAAAATTCCGGATCTTGTTGTATCATTGTTTGTGCCCATCTACAAAACAGACCTTCTTTCGAAGTCTCCGGCTTGCAATTGTTGTGTCAAAGTTATATGGTAAGGATGCAATCTATGAACTTTCAATATTCGGTGCACCGTGGATTTTGGAAAATCTAATTGTCTTCCAATTTCTCGTGTACTAATATGAGGATTGTTTGCTATAATACCTAACACTGCAAGCACCTGTGGATCATCTCTCTCTGGTATATTATTTCGTCGTCTTTATCGCGGACAAACTTTGGCGTTGACGTTCTACAAGTCTCGCAATGGTACGATCGTTCGGGTGCCTTACATTGGGGAAGCGATTACGATATAATTCTGCAGCTTGTACATAATTACCTCGGCATTCTCCAAGTACGAGGATAATATCTACTATTTCATTCGGGGTATAATCTGGCATTATGTAAGATAAAGATTAATTTTTAGATAAGTACTTTTTATTGTTTAACTTATCTTAATAGAAAACTAAAAAAGGGTGTGTCAAGTACTTGAACAATTAATGCAAAGGCAGGTTTAAAGATTATTTAACTAAATGAACTTTATCGTTTACTTTATTACAAAAAATTATTTTTCAAGCATATTATAAGCAACATTCAACGACCTCATTCAAATATTGACGGACAATGACACCATAATGAGGTGGAGCTCCATCCTGTTGGAAATAAATTTCATCCATATTTGCACCAGCTATGTCTCGAATAGCTGGAATAATTTGTTCGCGAAGCATGATTATGTATACCTGTGCTGTCAAATTGTTTTCAATGAAGAAAGGGCCAACTGGTCTACTATCAAGAATACCAGTCCATATGTTAACTTTTTGTGGATATTGGGTATGATTGTCTCTTTTCCAGTGAGGAAACGTAACTCCAGTACCTCCAATTGTGTCTATTTACATTTCCAGTCAGTTCAAATGTTGCCTCATCAGAGAAAACAATATTATTAAGTAATAGAGGATCGTCGACAATCATCTCCATCATAAGATCACAAAATTCGATGCGTCTATCAAAATCGTCTTCGGACAACTCTTGGCACAAATGGAATTTGTATGGATGCCATTTATTCAATTTCAAAATTTTAGTGACAGATGCATGACCGATTTCGTGTTCTTGTGCAATTGATGGAAATATGGGGATTTTCAACGAAAGACTGTAAAACATCTAATGCCTTATCATTATTTGTTGCTGTTTTACGTCTACCAGATCTTAAGCGACTTTTAACGCTACCAATGTCCTCGAAACGTTGAACAGTACGGATTACAGTACTTTTAGAGATCCTATTATTTTCAGTCCGAAAATTTTCATTAAATAATCGCGTACTGTTTTATACCCTCTTTGTTGAACTCCCCATCCTCGCATCATTAACAGTGTTATCCTATCTTTTTCAGAAAGTTCCGCCATTCTTAATTATAGCAAAGAAGAATTAATCAGGTAAGTGACAGGAAATTGATCTAAATAATCAAATAGAGAAAAAACTAATTATTAAGTGTTGGTCCAACTATTGATTTATTTATTTCAACCAGCACTAGCAAAAAGCTCGTTGAGCAACTGAAAATCTAATAGATCAATTAATAATATTTACGAAAAATTTCTAGGCTATTGGAAACAAAAGTGAAGATGTTTGAGAAAATCAATTGAAGCGCAATGGCTTCTTTTGTTACAGAAAAAATTTTTGGGGTTGTTTGTTTTCGTCCACGAAGTAACTGCTGCTCGCTAAGAAGAAGACAGCGCTGCATCAAAGATTAAAATCAGTGATCCGTATTGTTTGCTCAAGAGCTCGTATATTGGTGCCTGCGAGAATGAGAGAATAAAGATCTGCCCCGCCAACGCTTTCGGGCAGATTCCCGCTAACGCCTTCGGACATCACGCATTCGAGCAACTTCTCGCGATCACGCCCCTTCGGGCAGTTTTCCGCCGTAGCTTACTAGCATAACCGCTTGAAGCCGTACAATTCAAGAACAATTGAATTATTAGGAAATGTTACAATTAATTTTTTATGATGATATTATGCTAGCGACATTAGGATAAGTTATAATTATTTTTATTATATATTTTTTAAGATTTTACCAATGTGACCGGTTTTATATGATAAAGTTGTTTTGCATTGAAAATGATCCGATCGGAGTCGAAACATTTGTAATATTATTATTTTGATTAAATTTGTTCGTTGTAATACTGGTTCTATGCCCTGTTAATATTTATATTATTAATAAACATTATTCCAAATATATTTTTATATAATTATTGAAATTATACGTGCATTTTCAAAAGTTTTAAACCAATAACTATAAGAGAAATATCTGGAGACAAGCTAGTGTCTCAGTGCTTAGACATTTCGCGAGACACTTGCTGGATTCACACTGCATCCGATTTGCGTCGTACGATGCTCTGCAACCAATCAGAAAACAAGATTCCGATGATATGAAGCAAAATCCATCGGAATCCTGTTTTCTGATTGGTTGAAGAGTGTCGTCCGACGCAAATCGGATGCAGTGTGAATCCAGCAACTGCCTTGCTCCTTTACGCGAGTCGACGATTTGTTCCTATCGATTCACTTTATTCAATAGACAAATACAAAATAAAAAAGCATCATTCGAACGTATAAAAATTATGATCAAGAACAAAATTCTGAAAGTGGAATGAATAATATAAATATAATTAATAAGAACAAAAGGCTCTTTACTTCAATAAACTATAAATATAACAAAGGGCATAAGAAGAGACTAAATTACAAATTCTTTGTTGAGAAACATAAAATATATTACATAATAAAAATCATTATATTCTAATCGATTAAAATTATTACATGTAAAGAGAGA